TTCCCCTAAAAGCACGGCAAAGGAGCTGCGACGCAAGTGTGGTCTGGGGAGGGGGGGGAAGAGCTGGGTGGGTCCGCCTGGGTTCTTTTCACACTCATCCATCCGCGCACACCTTCGTGCGCCGCCGCCGCCGCCCGCGATCTTGGGAATCTCATTGTGTCTGCTCTAAATAGACTCGACGTATCGGAGAGGGCGCCCCCCCCACCTCCCAGGACAAGGGTGGCAGAGGGTGGAGAGGGGGCGGCTTCTTGGGGGCCTGGATTGGGACCCTTACGCGGCTCCATTTCCCCCTTTCCCCTCCCAAAGACAGGAAGGGGGTGGAAGAGAAGGGGAAGGGGTGTCTCTTCTGCTGGTCACTTTGCCCCTCCCGGAGCTTTCGCCCATCTGCTAGCCTGCAAAACAACCCCCCCTGCCCTTCTTTCCCTCTATTCTCACACCACCTCTTTCCCCACCCCCTAAATCTCCTTGGCTGGCTAGCTCCATACATGGTAATCTTGTTTATTTCTGCCACCCCCGCCGCCGACCCTTCCCGGGGCTTTCCCTCCTGGTCACCCTGAACCTTTGTTTGCGTCTGTGTCCCACGCGGGTCTCCTTCCCTGGCCTCCCTTCTGCTGCCTGTAGCCATGCCTCCCACCGCTCCCTCTTCCTTCCAGCTGGATTGCCTTTCTGCCCACACCCATTCATTCCCTGGTCGTTTCTCCTTGACCTCTGTTGATGTACCTGTTGTCAGTCAGCCTGATGCCTTCTGTTTGTTTATCTAGTATAGGTCTGCTAATAGATCTACACACATAGGTTCCCACCCACATGTGTATCACTTGCAGGATTGCACCCAAAGGAAAGAGTATGTTATGTTGGGCTGTATTGTGTCTGAAAGGACATTAGCTGAGGTGTCTGGTTGGGGAAGGCTCTTTTCAGGCACATGTGTGTAGATGTGTGTATAGGGCCTAGCAGAGCAATAACGGGACTATCAGTGTGTCTCACGTATTCTGTCCCCCCCCCCTTGAAGGTCTATCCCTTTAATCTGTCTGCCTCCTATCAGCTTAGTTGTATTTTTCCAAGAGCCACCGTGACTTAATTCCCAGTCGTCCCCCCCTCCCCTTCTTGGCGCCATTTATTTCCCTCAGGGGATCCTTTCCTTGGAACATGGCCGTGTGTGCCTCTGAGGCATTGAGGCTGCCCTGGAAGAGCACCGAGAAGAAAAAAAGAATCTCACTCTGGTGGTGGTGAAAGACAGAAAGCCTCCTCTCCTTGGCACTGTGCGGATGGGTGGGTGGGCGTGACAAGAGGAGGGTGGGTGAGCGAGCGATGGGCAGGTGCCTCCTTCCCTATCGGTGGTCTCAAGCGAACAGCAGGGTTCCACAATACATTCTCCACCCAGCTGGACTTCAGTGGCTTTCCACGTCCTTGTTTTTGAGGGTATGAAAGAGAGGACACTGTGGTGGGAGGGGTGTCTGTCCTCAGTAACAGCGCTAGAAAATTCCCCATGTGGGAAGGAGAGGTTTGAAGCTTTATTCAGGCTGGTGCTCACTAGAGCGTGTGCATAAGTGTGCGTGCCTGTCAGGATGGTGAATAGAAACTGCAGCTCCGCCCTCTCCTGTGGTCATTTCAATTTCATCGGGGGAAAAGGTAGATAGATTCCGACATTTCTCAAAACCTATTTGTCTGCCCTGAAACTGTCATTGTATTTTAGGGAGAGCTGATTCCACCCCGCTTACCTGCTGGCTGCCCCATGGACCTGGCTGGCTGCTCCAGCCAATTAATAGGTTGGAATGATCTCTGGCAGTAGCGTTATGCCAATAAGCTAGGTTTCCTCCAACCTGGACTCAAATCACAATGAGCCTCGTTGTGTGAATCTCATTTTCTATCTACTTACTAACTCAGTTGCTCCTGGCAATGTCAACTCTGCCAGATTTCTTTCACCTGCAACTGACTCCTGACTATTCCTGCCCCCCCCCCCAATTTTCTGCTTCAGATGATACAGTTTCTTTGTCCTTTGTGACATGACCCCTTTGCGTTTTTTGGGTTTTAAAAATATTTAGTAGCATTTTTTAGTAGCCTCAAAAAAAAGATTTTGGAACTAAGAACTGCCTGGGAGGCAGGCCATCTGTCCTGGAAGCCCAGCTCCTTAACCATGTGTTTGTAGTTATCTGGTGGTCGGAAGGAAGACACTGTTGCATTCTTATTTTCCAGGACTCAGTCCCAGTTTTGAAAATAGGTTTCAAAGCTGAGTCCTTACAAGATGGAGCCTTGATTTAATGAGAGAATGTGACCTGTGGACCAGTTTAGTTGCAAAATCTCTGAGTAGTTATGGGCATCACTCTTGACTTTAGGTAGCCATCGGTAACTGGACAGCAATTGTGTTCCGTCTGAAGCCACTGCTGACAGCAGTTGCAAAAGAACTGTTCTAAATGCTTGTTGCAAATTAACTTATACCTTGATGCAGCATCAAGTGGTTGTAGGATCATTCATGATCTAGCATCTCTGGTTCTCTTCTGTAGGGTGCAAAGGTGCACACAGAGTTGTGGAAAAGGCACACTATGGCCTGAACAGAGGAGTGGGCTCACTCGAAAATGGCAGGGTGTATTGCTTGAGCCACAAGCCATTGGTGAGTGAATGAGAGACTAAAGAAGAGAAAGATTGTAAATGTTCTGCATTCGCATGAAGGTATATTACCAACATAGCAAGGCATATATTAGCACCAAAATTAATAATGATAGTGTCCCATCAAGTTGATTATGACTTACTTTGGCTTCCCAAAATTTTCTAAAATACTCAAATATAGTTTGATGCTCTCTTTTTCTGGTGACACTCTGGGACCCTTCGGCTTGCCCAAGGCCACACAGCTGGCAATGCACTTAAACCCTCCCCCCCAAACTACAGTGCTCTGGGTGGTCCTGGCTGGCTTTTCTCCGAGGAGCCACAATCAGGAACTCCAACCTACTGAGCTATACCATCTGCTAGTGCCAAAACTTTCATCCTCAAAAAGGATTTATCCTGTCTTAAGGAGTGAGATGAAAAGGGTCTACATATTTGATTGATTGATTGATTGATTGACTGATTGATTGATTGCACTTATATGCCACCCATCTAGACATTGTCTACTCTGGGCGGCTCACAACAGACAAGATAAAAACAGTTAATATATAGTAACAGTTTTACAGCATTATACAATGAAAACAATAGTTCAAGATGGGAAGAAGAAAATTAAGCAGTGCCTGGAGGGAAAGCCTGTCTGAATAACCAAGTCTTAAGTTGGTTTTTTTAAATGCCCAGCAAGGGGGCCAAACGGATCTCGGAAGGGAGTTTGTTCCAAAGAGAGGGAGCCACTGCTGAGAAGGCCCGGTGTCTTCTTTTTTCTTTCCAAACTTCCCTTGGCGTTAGGTTCCTCAGTCGCCCCTCCTGACTGGATTGAGTGGTACGGGTAGATCTAGGTGGGAGGAGGCGCTCCGCCAAGTATCAAGGTCCTAACTGTTTGGGGCTTTGCATGTAATTAAAACTTTGAAATCAACGCGCAAGCGTACGGGCAACCAATGCAAGGCAGCCAGGGTAGGAGTGATATGTTGATGTTTCCTCACTCCACTGAGAAGTCTGGCCACTGCATTCTGCACCATTTGAAGCTTCTGCATGAATCTCAAAGGTAGCCCCACGTAGAGCACATTACAGTGGTCTAATCTCAAGATTACGAGCACGTGGACCAGAGTGGTGAGCGCCCCAACATCAACACAACTGGTCAAAGATGGAAATATGCGGAACAGACCATTGACACCACCTGAGTTTCCATGGTGAGCGCCGGGTCCAGCTGTATCCCCAAGCTGCAAACCTCACTCTTCACAGTAAGAGTCACTCTCACAAAAGAGAGGGAGTTTCCCAAACCACCATTGGTGGGGCCACCCACCCTAAGGACCTCCATCTTGTCCGGGTTCAACCTCAGCCCATTTTCCTGCATCCATTGCAGTACAGTCTCCAAGCAGCACTGATGGGACAGAACGCCATCCACTGTGGTTGGAGAAAAGGAGATGTAGAGCTGAGTGTCATCAGCATACTGATGGCACAATACCCCATACCCCCTGATGACCCCACCCAGCGGCCTCATATAGATATTAAACAGTGTTGGAGAGAGGGTTGAACCCTGTGGAACTCCACATTTGAGGCTCCACAGGGCCAAGTCCCCCTCCCCAAGTTAAACTCTCTGAGGACGGTCCTCCAAGAAGGATCAGAGCCAGGCAAACGCCAGACCATATTGGTGGTTGTTTACCAGCACCTTTGGGGGATCTTAAGGTTTCTTCCAGAACTTAATTTGTACTTGGTCCTAAAAGCCATTTTTTCTGTTAGGGCTCCCTCAACCCCCATAGCACCCAAAATCCCACACTGGGAGGCTGTTGCAATTTTGTGTAAACTGCCCACTATTAGTGCTTGCCATAATGGAGCA